GGATTCCAGGTAGCCCAGGCTACCTGTGTGAAATTGCTGTGTCCCTGAAGTCTGTCTCCACCTCTAGGTCCTCTGGAAGAGCAGCTGCGCTCTCAATTGCTGCCTTTTTGATTCCAACTTGGCTCTTGTTATCTCTGATATCAGCACGGGAAAACTGTTTTACTGATGAGCATGGCTTAGTGGTAGAGTGCTTGCCTAATTTATGCAAGGCCCTTAGTTCAATTCCCAGTATCTTCCTGCCCCCGAAAAAAACAAACAAGGAACTCTTCTGTTCCCTAAATTCTCACACCCTTCCTTTACCATGTCTTTATTTGCTTTCCTCTCTCACCTTTGCCTGTCACCTCACATCTTAACCATTTTCCTCTTTAAAATTCTTCACTGCATGTTTGCTGAGTGGTGGTGGCGCACTCCTCCCAGCATTTTGGAGGCAGAGGCAGGTGGATCCCTGAGTTGGAGACCCACCTGGTCTACAGAGCAAGTTCCAGGACAATCAGGACTGTTACATAGATAAACTCTGTCTCAAGAGGAGGGAGAAAAACCAAAAAATTAATACATTTTTACTTAGTGAGTAGAGTGTGTGTGTGTTCGTGCCACGATGCACAAGAAAGTCAGTTCTTCGTCGTCATCAGTTCATCGTGTGGGTCCTGGAGATATTATGCTTCTTCACCCCCTCAGCCATCTCTTCTCCTAGCTCTTGCCCATTTTGAACGAACAGACAAGGAAGAACTCCACAATTTACAAAAGAGCACGAACATGTAATCTATGTAGGAGTCCCCAGATTTGATTCTCTTGAATTTTATTTTTTGTTTTTATTTTTGCTTTTCCAGATAGGGTCTCACTATTATATGTGTGTATGTGTGTGTCTTCCTGTGGGTATGTGTGTTTGAGTGCAGGGATATATGGCAGACAGAAACATTGGATCCCTGATGGAGCTGGAGTTACATATGAATACGAGCTTCTGTGTGGATGCTAAGAATTGAACCTGGGCCCTTAAAATAGCAGCAAATGCTTTTAATTGCTGAGCCGTCTCTCCAGCCCTCTAAAAATTTATTTGAATTATTTTGAGTACATGTATTTAGTGTATGTGTGTGCATATGTACCACGGTGCAAGTGTGGAAGCCAGAGTTGGTCTTCTTTCACCATGTTGGTCCTGAGGACCAAATGTAGGTCCCCAGTGCCTTTGCCCACTGAGCCTTAGAGCTTTTTATGGGGCTGGGGGTAGCTCATTTGTAACATGCACCAACTCTGCATAGACTGGGTTGGTAATGTAAGTTTGAGGCCAGCCTGGGATACACAAGCCCCCTCCTCAAATATTTATCTATATACCTATCTATTTGTGTCTATATATTTTTTATACAGTACTTGATTTTTTTCTAAATAGGAATAATTCTTGGGCTCATGAGACGCCTCAGTAGGTAAAGTGCTTATACAAACCTGAGAGACTCAGTTTAATCCCTGCAATGTAAGGTGGGGAGAAGGAACTGACTCCTGAATATTGTCCTCTTGATTTCTGCCTGGGCACTGTGTTATGTCTGTGTGTGTGCAGATGAACCCCACAGTATTAACTTTTTATTAAAACAATATTACTCATTAGCTTTTTGTTTATTTTTTTTTTTTAAGTTCTGGGATTGCAGGGGCTCGAGAGAGAGGAATCAAAGTGGGGCATCTGACAACTGCCTGGAACCCTAGCACGCCCTGGCACCCATACACATCCACGAATAAAGATAGAAGTTCTAGTTACAGCCATGTTACAGTTCATGTGGTGTTAGGATGCCGACCAAGCACTTGAGCGATGAGCCCCTGCTCACTCTCATTAGAGTGATAGTGTCTAGTGGTGGTGGGCCCTGGAGACAGAGGCCAGTGGACTTTTGTAAGGCCAGTCTGGACTATAGAGCAGGTCTCAGGACAGCCAGGGCTATACAGAGAAACCCTGCCTTAAAAAAACAATAAATAAGTAAATAGAGAGAAATTAATAAGTTAATGATTTCTTCCATCTCTCCTACCAGTTACTCCTCTTCCCACAACAAGCATCACAGCTGCTGTGTGTTCTTCACATTTTTTTTTTTTTTTTACTGTTTTTCAAGACAGGATTTCTATGTGTAGCTTTGACTGTCCTGGTGCTAACTCTGTAGTCCAGGCTGGCCTCAAACTCACAGAGATCCGCCTGCCTCTGCCTCCCTCCCGAGTGTTGGGATTAAAGGCGTGTACCACCACCGCTCAGCCCTTTTACATTTTTCTTTGTCCCTAAACACAGGCAGTGTGGACCTTTGTCTCAACAAAAATGGGACCAAACAATATCTCAGTGGTTCTTAAGTATCCAAGACCCTTGGGGGATCCCCAACCCCCTTTCATGCTAATATATATAGATATATTCATATATCTATATATATGAATATATCTATATATATAATAAAAATACATGTATGGATAAATATGTGCAAATTTTGTATGTATACAATTTATAAATAGATGTTGTATATTATATGTGTGTATCCAGAGTATCTTCATTGTTGTACATACCTCACTTAAGGGGGCCTGGTCACGGGTTACATGATGAACGTGACCTGTTTTATTAAACCCTGGTCTTCGGTGCATAATTGTTTAGTGGCTGAGAGGGAAGGAACGGGAGTGGCGTGCCTCTACCACACTCTAAATGAGGAGCCCTGTGAGCTGCAGGCGAGATGGCTCTCTAGCCGTGGACACCCTGGTCCTTGACAGGACCTCTTGAAGATTATGGAAGTCAGCCGGGCGGTGGTGGTGCAGGTGGATCTCTGTGATTTCGAGGCCAGCCTGGTCTACAGAGCGAGTTCCAAAGCTACAGAGAAACCCTATTTCGAAAAACCAAACCAAAAAAAAAAAAAAAGATTATGGAAGTCAAGAGGTCTGATGATCATTTTCCTGAAAAGGAAAGAATAAACCTCTTGTTCTGCCAGCTGCTGGTGCCACATGCATTTACTCCTAGCGCTCAGGAAGCTCATGGCAGTTGTGAGCTGCCATGTGGGTGCTGGGATTTGAACCAAGGTCCTCTGGAAGAGCAGCCAGTGCTCTTAACCACTGAGCCATCTCTCCAGCTCCATACAATTCAAACCGAAGTAAAAATTAGACATTTGAAAACCTTTTGTCTTCCACAGTGAGCTGACTGACAACTTCCTAGTATTTTTCTAGGAGCTGGGGATATGGCTTGTCTCAACAGGTGCCATATTGATCTTCCAGAGGACCTGGGCTGGTTCCTAGCACCCACATCTAGTGGCTCACCATTAACTGCCTGTAACTTCAGGTCCCAGGGATCGGACATCTTTTGGCTTCCACAGTCACCTGTACTTGTGTGCCCACATACACAATTACAAAAAATAAAAATAAGATTTTTCTGAATAAATATGATTTCTTAGTGTTGCATAAAGAAATGCATGCTTTAACAAGAGTATAAATGGGTCTCTAGACTAACTCTGAGAACTTCCACATAGCCTACACTTGGCTTTTGTTTTTGAGATAATCTCTTCTATCCTGGGCTGTCTCAGACTGGCTGTGTTGCTGGGGCTGACTTTTCCCTTCTTCAGCCTAATGTGTGCTGGAGTTACGGTGTGAACTCCAACTTCCATATTGTAGAATATTACTTGAAGATGTGTAACGTTCGTTTATGCTGTGGAATATTTGTTTAATGATGCAAAGACATGTTACATTTGATTAAATAAGATTAACCTGGGTCAGGCTGAGTCAGCAGCTAGCTGGCAGGAAATGGTAGAGAGGGAACCCTGTGTAGCTAGGATTCTGAAGTGGGGGCTGAGCAGAAGGAAGCCTGTTTTGTGGGAGAGGAGGTTAGCTACTTGCTATTCAGCTTCTCTGAGCCTGCAGAATTTCACCTCACCCTTTGAATCCTGAGTTGGTAGAGTAGAGATCTAGATGAAGATGCCTTTAGCAGCCGAGCTAGAGCCGGTAGAGCCGGTGCCTGGAGAAGAGAACTGCCTGGTTGCAGCTGACCAGCCGCTGGTAGCTGCACGGCTGCAGCTGCTGTTTAGGACAGCACTTGCTTAAGAGGCAGCTACTGAATTCTTTGAAAAGCAACATTTCCACTTAGTAAATTATGCTTTTCCAGTTAGTAAATTATGAACACTTTCAGTACCACTACTGAATATTTATTAATATTAATTCATATCTAACTATTATTTTACCAATGGCATGGTGTTCCATTGTATATATGAACCAAGGTCATATGTTGTGGGCCTTTAGATTGCTTTCAGCTTTTGGCTAGTTTAAATGTGCGGAGCTAGAGAGATGGTTCAGTGGTTAAGAGCATTTGCTGCTTTTCCAAAGAATCTGAGTTCAGTTCTCAGATTCACACCAGGAAGCTCACAACCACCTGTAACTCTAGCTCCAGATAATCCAACACCCTCCTAGTCTCTACAGAGAGCGGCACACACTCGCCTAGAGACACGTACACATACATAATAAAAAAGAAAAAGTGCATGAGCAAATGTCCTTTCCATCCACGTGTTCTGATGCCTTTATGATGTGGTTTCCTACGAGTTTGTTTTTCAAAGTCTGTGTTGTGAAATTTGTCTCATCTTCCCCACTCTTCTCCACAGACTTCTTGTTTCGGCCCCTTTATAATCTGGTTCATTTACTGCTTTTGATGTTTCCTTTGCCTTGGACCTTTGGAGAATGCCATCTCTACTTGCTCTGTCTTACATGCATTATTTAAAACAGAGGCCGCAGCTCCTTGAGGGCAAGGATAGTGTGTAGTGAGTGACAGAAGATCGAAAGTTGAGAAATGACGCCTTAGCTGAGTGGCATTACTTACCTATAATCTTAGCACTCAGGAGGTGGAGGTGGGAGGATTCAAGTTCAAGGCCACTTGGTCTACTAGTGAGCCCTTGTCTTGGGTTAGGTGGGTAGACGGGTGCTGGGGAGAGGGGCTGTGCACATTTATAAACACTTGTCTAATCTTGGGAAATGTTTGAAAATAAGAGAGACTAACTTCAACTTAATTTCTGTCATTTCAGGCAAGTACATTGCCTCAACACAGAGACCCGACGGGACTTGGCGCAAGCAGCGGAGGGTCAAAGAAGGATACGTGCCCCAAGAGGAGGTCCCAGTGTGCGTGGTTAGGCTTAACAAGGGGTGTTTAGTGGGGTTCCTGCACAAGTATAGCATAGCGTGCCTTCGAGTTCAGGGATGACTTGCCTGAGCCCCAAGGAAATGGAAGGAGGGACAACGGTCTCAGAAAGGAGAGGAAGGAGCTAGGATTGAGGGGTGAGTGAGGGTTCCCCAACTAGGCTTATTCCTTTGGCCCCTATTCTTCAGAACCTCCAGACAGCGATCTGAGAGCCAGAGCTTTGAGTTCTAGAACTTTCCTAAAGATCAGGGAACACCTGAAGGGCAAAGGAAATGGGGTGTAATGGGAAGGCAGTGAGGTGGAAGCCCAGGGGAGGAGCTCGACGCATCCTTAAAGCTTTAGTTCTCCTTTCCTGCAGCTACGAAAATAAGTACGTGAAGTTTTTCAAGAGTAAACCAGAACTTCCTCCAGGCCTGAGCCCCGAGGCCACGACACCCGTCACCCCATCCAGACCTGAAGGTGGCGAAGTAGGCCTCTCCAAAACAGCCAAACGCAACCTGAAGCGAAAGGAGAAAAGGAGGCAACAGCAGAAGGAGGGAGAGGCCTTGAACCGGACTCTTGAAAAGGTATCTCTGGGAGACACAGCCCAAACGCCCAGTGCACTCCAAGGCTCCCAGGGCGCCCCTCCAGCTGCCCCCGATGCCTCCAACTCTGCGGCTACCACAGAGAAAGCCAAGAAGATGAAGAACCTGCGGAAGAAGCTGCGGCAGGTGGAGGAGTTGCAGCAGCGCATCCAGGCCGGCCAGGTCAGCCAGCCCAGCAGAGAGCAGCTGGAGAAGCTGGCCCGGAGGAGGGCTTTGGAGGAGGAGCTGGAGGACTTGGAGCTGGGCCTGTGAGGCTTCGAGAGTAGGGAGTGACTGCGGAATAAACCATGGGGTGCTCTGGGGTCCAGGGAGTGTGGGCCGCAGCAGTCAGGAGGGGCACCCCCATACTGGCTCACTTCCACCTGTGGCCAACTCCGTCCTCCAGAGCCAGGCTCTCCTTCGTTCCTTCGCCTTCTCAGCTCCAAATTTTGGACTTTTCCCCCCACCCGTTCCCAGTGTTCAAATTCTCAGTGATGACCCTAGGTACTTCTGCTGCTGATCTGGGTGTCTTGTTGAAAAGAAAACCGGGGGTGGGGGGGTGGGAGTTTGTTAGAGATCTGAGACTGAGGTATAGGAGTACCCCAAGTCTTAGAGTCTTCGTTCCTGTTCACAGTGTTTATGAGTTATTCCCCTGGCCACCCCGAAACCACCTCCTCTTTTTTTTTAAGAAAGTAAGAATAAATTCAAGTAGACAGCATATGGTCAGGTATGGCTCTGTTCTCAACTCTTGTTTGTCAGTTTGCTGAAAGAAGACACTTAAGAAGTTTAAATTTGGTTCTGTTTTCATTTTTTCAAGAGGTTTCTTCTGCAACAGTGCAGACTGTCCATCCTGGCACTCCCTCTGTAGACCAGGCTGGCCTTGAACTCAGATATCCTCCGGCCTTTGCCTCCCAAGTACTAGGATTAAAGGCGTGTGCCACCACTGCCCAGCTTTAGGCTTAACTTTTTTAATGGTGCTAGGGATTGAATCCAGGGCCTTGCACATGGTAGCTCTACCATTAGTTCTACATCCCTCCTTGGCCCTTAATTTTTTTTAAAATTATGAGTGCAGCCGACCATGGTAGTGAGCATCTGTAATAGTCTCCGGAGGCAGAGACAGGGTTGCTAGCATTTCGAGACCAGCCTGCGCTGCAGGGTAAGACTATCTCAACAAAGAGTAATGTATGACAAAATTAGACCTCAGTAAATGGAAGTTAGTGCTGTTATCTGTGAAATTTAGAACAAAACTTGACATGAATGTATGTGTTGTGCCATGTAGCAAGGAGTCTGTTGTACCTTCCTCGCTGCGTCTGAAGATAATTTTGATTTACTTCGAATGCCCAGAGTAGCTCTTGAAATTTTACCTTGGATGCTGCCTACGATGACACTGGGGGCAAAGTCATGCTGTGTGTAGACACGTCCAGGAGATCTGCCCTTCCGTGTGTGTTTCACCCGTGCTGCACCTTTGGTTGTAGACTAGCGGGGAGGAAAGGGAGCGGCCTCAACCATGCCTAGCTCTCAGGAATTCAGGAGCCCCACAGAAACCAGCCCTATTAAATCCTCTCCAATCTTTTCTTGGCTTCTAGATCTTTGGGAATCCCTCCCTTGCCTTTCCCCTCACCCTAAATATTAAGCCACCCATCTCTTGGGTTTTCATGTGTGTGTCTGTGTGTCCACAAATGTGGAGGAGCCATGCACCCTGTTTTTTTGAGTCTAGGGCCCACTGACTACTCGGCTGGCTGGCTAGTAAGCCCCAGGGACCCATCTGTTCCTACCTCCTTAGACCAGCCCCCGGGGGTGACCTCAGCCTCATGCTCACTCTTCCCTACCTGTAGGTGTAGCTCTCAGTGCTCTCGCTATTGTGCTTGTTTAGTTTCCAGCCACCCCTCAGACCCGCTGCTAAACTAGTTAGCTAGTTTGAGACAGAATCTCTGTGCAACCTATGCCAACTTGGAACTGGAATTCGCTGTGCAGATGAGGCTATGGTCCTCCTGCAGCTCCTTCCTCAGTGCTGGGATTACAGGTGCAGGCTACAGAACCTAGCAGTTAAATTCTCAAATATCCAATGAAATAAGGCTCTGAACCATGCATAGAAAAGAACACAGGTGATAATAAATACTTGACTGGGACCAAAAAGAGACCAAAAGCCCGGGTTCCCTTTCGTAGGAACCCAGGAATTAGTTTATACATAGTTTCTGATATTGTACATGTATGATAAACATACACATCATGCATGGTTAAGTTCCTGAAGGGTAGGGCTGGGGTGAAGTTAGACGGCCGAGTGCTTACGTGGTATAGATGAAGCCCTGGACGTAATTCCCAGAACAACATAAGACAGGATGGCACAAGCCTGCAGCCTTGGCATGCCGGCAGCAGTGGCAGCAGGACCAGAAGTTAAAGACATTCCCGGTGACGCCTGAGTCCTCACTGCTAGTGCTAGAGAAATTTAAGAGAGTAAAGGTTGTCTCTAAGGAGACACACCTACTTTGCTGGATTCCGAGGGTAGTGATCTGCTTGACCCCGTGTGGGTAGTTTTACATCACCTTGATACAAACTAACTTCATCGGAGGGGGCAGAATCTCAAGAAAACAGCCTCCATAAAATTGGGCTGTTGGCAGGCCTTTGGGCATTTTCTTAATGGGTGGTACTTTCCCTGGGCTGGTCCTGGTTTCTTTAAGAAAGGTTGAGAGCCAGGCGGTGGTGGCCCACGCCTTTAATCCCAGCACTTGAGAGGCAGAGGCCGGCGGATCTCTGTGAGTTCGAGACCAGCCTGGTCTACAAGAGCTAGTTCCAGGACAGGCTCCAAAACCACAGAGAAACCCTGTCTCGAAGAAAAAAAAAGAAAAGAAAAGAAAAGAAAGGTTGAGAGCCAGGTGAGGGTGGCGCACTGCTTTAATCTCAGCACTTGTGAGGCAGAGGCAGACAGATCTCCGAGTTCGAGGCCACCCTATCTACAGAGTGAATTCCAGGATGGGCAGGGCTACAGAGAGAAACCTTGTCTTGAAAAAACAAAATAAAATAAAGCAGGCTAAGCAAGCCACAAGGAGCAAGCCAGTAAGCAGCTCCCCTCCGTGGCCTCTGCATCAGCTCTTGCCTCCAGGTTCCTGCCCTGTTTGAGTTCCTGTCCTGGTGGAAGTGTGAGCCAAACAAGCAAACCCTGTCCTCCCCATGCTTTGATCATGGTGTTTCATCACAGTAATAGAAACTCTAGGACACACCCTTTTTAAAATGACTTATTATTTATTATGTATGTAGCATTCAGTCTGCATGTATGCCTGTAGGCCAGAAGAGGGCACCAGATCTCATTATAAATAGTCGTGAGCCAACGTGGTTTCCGGGAATTGAACTCAGGACCTCTGGAAGAGCAGCCAGAGCTCTTAACCCCGAGCCTTCTCTTCAACTGCCTACTATAAGATTTAAAAATTAAAAAATAAAAGATATCCTCAGCTACCGTAGACTCTGTCTCAAAATTAAAGTGAATCATTTTTAAGGAATTATTTTTATACTTGTGTGTCTGTATAGGTGAGTGACATCTGAGTACTTGTCCCTGGGGAATTCCAGAAGAGGGTGTAGGAGGCCTTGGAGTCGGAGTTGCAGGTGGTCATACCTGAAGTGGGTGCTGGGAGCTGAATTCAGGACCAACCTCTGCAAGGTCATTGTGCTCTTACCCTCTGAGTCCTTTATCCAGGCCTGATAAAAACCCTTTACTAAAGCCAGACAGAAGCCAGGGGTGGTGTGCACGCCTTTAACTCAGGACTCAGGCAGATAGATCTTTATGAGTTTCAGGCCAGCCAGGGCTACGTTGCAAGATCCTGTCTCAAAGGAAAAAAATAAAATAAAGGTAGCAGCATAGTTGCTATGTGTTTCAGTTACTTTTTTAAAGGTTTATTTATCATGTATACAGTGTTCTCCCCGCGTGTATGCGTGCACACCAGAAGAGGGTACCAGATCTCATAGGTGGTTGTGAGAATTGAACTCAGGACCTCTGGAAGAGCAGCCAGTGCTCTTAACCACTGAGCCATCTCTCCAGCCCCAACTTTTACTTTTCAGTTTCTGTGATGACACTGCATGAGCGAGGCAACTTATACAAGAGTTAACTTGGGGCTTACGGTCTCAGAAGGTTGGTTAGAGAGTCCATGACCGCCATGGTAGGGAGCATGGTAGCAGGCTGGCAGGCATGGCACCAAAGCAGTAGTTGGGAGCGGGTGGCACAAGGAGAGAGCTAACTGGGAATGATGCACACTCGGGGACCAGCATCGAGTATACGAGGCTATGGGGGGGCGTCTCATTCAAACCACCACATTAGTTGACAGTAACACACTGAGGAATGGCTGAGAGAATTCATGCTGGTGTGCTTGTGTTATGGTTACCTCAAGATAGGCTCTTGTTTTGAATGCCTTTTCCCCAACTACTGGAGCTGTGGGGGAGGCCCTAGCCTCTGAGAGGTAGAGCTAACTGGAGAAGGGACTGGCGACGGGTGTGTGAAGGCGATGCCTGTCCCTGACGGTGCTTTCAGCTCCTTGGCCTGCTATGATGTGAGCAGCCAGCCTCTCCCACATGCCCCCAGTCCTGTGCCTTCCCCACCACAGTCCACGGAAACTGAACCCACAATAAATCTTTCCTTGCTTAAGTTGTTGCTGCCAGGTGTTTTGGTCTCAGTGACTCAGAAATAGTTTCTGTGGGAGAACAGTGGCTGTTTTAGTCTCTTTGGGCTGATGTAGCAACTAGTGCCCCGCAGACTGGGTACCTTCCGGATGCCAGAGATTTACCCCTCATAGTTAGGGAGCCTAGGAACCCCAGGACGGTGCTCTGGAGTTTTGGTGTCTGGGAAGGGCCTGTTTCTCCGTTCATAAAATGTCCCTTCTCACAGTGTCCTCCCAGGGTGGAAAAGGGACAAGGAAGTTCTTCAGGTCTTTTTTTGTTTGTTTGTTTTTTTCGAGACAGTTTCTCTGTGTTGCTTTGGAGCCTGTCCTGGAACTAGCTCTTGTACACCAGGCTGGCCTCGAACTCACAGAGATCCTCTGCCTCCCGAGTGCCGGGATTAAAGGCATGTGCCACCACCTGGCTCTCCAGGACTTCTTTGGCAAAGACACTGCTTCCATTTTCTGCCTTCATGATTATTCACCTCCCAAAGGCCTACTTACTAATATAATCATAATGTTTTTATTTCTTGTTTGAGACAAGGTCTCTCTGAGTAGCCCTGGCTGTTCAGGAACTTACTCTGTGAACCAAGTTGGCCTAGAACTCAGAAATCTGCCTGCTTCTGCCTCCTAGTGCTGGGATTAAAGGCTTGAGCCATTATGCCAAGCCCCCCAGATTGGGTCTTACTATATTACCTAAACGGCCTCAAGCATCTTCCTACATCAGCATCCGCTAGTGTTAGCATTATGGGTATCCTACATCCTCCTACATCCTACATCAGCTAGTGTTAGGATTATGGGCATCTTCCTACATCAGCATCTGCTAGTGTTAGGATTATGGGCCTACCTCTGCCTCCCTAGTGCTGGGATTAATGGCCGCCCTGTGAGTATATTGGTTATTTTAAGTTAAAGAAAAAATGCAATACTGGTGCTCTGTGCTTTCCCATTTCTTCCTGAAAGCCAAGGTAAGGCACAAGGTGAAGGTACCTCCTTCCCAGAGGAAGGAGAGACATTCTTGTCAGCAGAGATGGGGAAATAAGGCTGAGAGAACTCCACCACCAACAAAACCTGTTAGCTAGATTTGGTGGGCTATGCCTGTACCCCAGCACCTGGAAGATGACTCCAAGGGCATCAGCAGTTCAAGTCATTGCTGGCCAGATGGTGGGTGTGAGGCCAGGAGACTCACCAACCACACAAGTAACAACAACGGAAACCGACCCGAGAAGTAAAGTCTATTAAACTGACCTATCTTCGCTTGCATTTCCCAACGGCTGCTCAGTCTTCTCCCAGCTCATTGCAAGCTTCAGCCCAGCTGCCCTTGGTGCCTCCACTGCCCTTGTGGAGGCGCTCCAGGCTCCAGGCACACGCAACCCGAACTGAACACAGTCTGTGGGCTGTTCTAATACGGATCTGAATTTCAGACCCAGTCAGACTGTGGAAGAGCACTTCGATCTTTCTGACCCAAATCCACTGCGGGAAGAAACGGTTTATTTCATTTAGTCCATAGCCTATCGAGGGAAACCAAGGGAGGAATTCAAGGCCATAGAGGAGCTGGGTATGGTGGCCATGCTTTTAACACAGCACTTGGGAGGTAGAGAAAGAATGTTTTTTGAGTTCAAATTCAGCTTTGTTTGTGTAGTAAATTCTACACATATGCTAGACCATCCAGGAGACCAAGTCTCAAAGCAACAACAACAACAACAACAAAACCCAATCAGCGAACCGACCAGCCAACTAAACAAGAAGCAGCCCTAACAACAACACAATGCCGGGATAGGAATGTGGCTTCCTGACTCGTTCCTGCCTTTCAACTCAGCTAGCTTTCTGATACAACCCAGCCCTACCTAGGACAGTGATTCTGAACCTTCCTAGTGCTGCGACCATTTAATACAGTTTCTCATGCCGTGGTGACCCCCCCCCAGCCAACCATAAAATTATTATTAATTTTTTGTTGTTTTTTTGAGACAGGGTTTCTCTGTAGCTTTTGGAGCCTGTCCTGGAACTAGCTCTTTTAGACCAAGCTGGCCTCAAACTCACAGAGATCCGCCTGCCTCTGCCTCCCAAGTGCTGGGATTAAAGGTGTGTGCCATCACCGCCCAGCTCATAAAATTATTTTTGCTGTAATTTTGCTACAGTTATGAATTGTAATGTAAGTATCTGTGTTTTTTTTTTTTTTTTTTTTTTTTGAGACAGGGTTTCTGTGTAGCATTGGAGCCTGTCCTGAAACTAGCTCTTGTAGACTAGACTGGCCTCGAACTCACAGAGATCCCCCTGCCTCTGCTAGGATTGAAGACATGCACCACCACCACCACCCGGCCCCATGGTCTTTAGAGACCCCTGTGAAAGGGTTATTTGTTCCCCTAGGGGGTCTTGACCCACAGGTTGAGAACTTGAGAATCACTGGCCTAGGACCTCCTCCAATTAGCCTCCGGAAATTAGCCACGGACATGCCCACAGGCTAATCTGAAGCAGGCAGTTCTTCACTTGATGTTCCCTCTTCCCAGATGCGTCAAGTTAATAAGCAAGAATAGTGTAAAGGAAGAACTTCACTTCCCTACAAAATCTGTTGAGAAAATTACAGCCAGTATTTCAATCCCGAGAGGGTTTTCATGCCGCCTTGCATGGAGCTGCCCTCTTATGTATTGCCCTGTGACTTTTCCTGAGTCTGTCGTACCATCACACAGTAAGAGTATAATTCAGCCCATAATCTCGTCTCTTCCCTCTCTCCCACCCTCTCCCACCCTCTCTCTCTCTCTCTCTCTCTCTCTCTCTCTCTCTCTCTCTCNCTCTCTCTCTCTCTCTCTCTCTCTCTCTCTCTCTCTCTCTCTCTCTCTCTCTCTCTCTCTCAATAAGTAATGTGTGTGTATGCGGATGCTAAAGTTTGATCATTTTCTCTGGTCCTGCACACTCGGTTCCCAGTGGTGGCTGATGAAAAAGGTTGTTAGCACTTGGCTCTCTTTTCTGTTCCCATTCCTGTGCTGCTCCATGTCCCTTGTGTGTAGCCAGCAAAGCCTCTAGGAATTTGGAAGTGGGCTCTTTTAGGACTGGTCATTTGGGATCAAGACGCTACTGTTTTTTTCTGTCCACTAGGTGGCACTGAGAGGCCAACTGTTTGGAAATTATCTTCACCTGCTTGCTCTCACCCCCCCCTTCGTTCCTTTCTCTTCTCTTCTCTTCTCTTCTCTTCTCTTCTCTTCTCTTCTCTTCTCTTCTCTTCTCTTCTCTTCTCTTCTCTTCTCTTTTCTTTTCCTTTTGCCCCGCCTATTTCCAAAGCAGCAAATAGGTTTGTTCTCTCCTCTATAAAGGCCGCTGACAGACCTCCATAGCCCCCTCTTTCAGTTCTCATGTAGTACAGGCGACCATAAGAAAACTCACTGTATCACTGAGGATGACCTTAAACTCTTGATCTCCTTGCATGCTTCGATTATAAATAGCCTTATGTGCTGGACAGTCTTTCCTATTCAGTCTCCCAAGAACCTGAGGAGATGGTAGCTACATCTCTCTTCTCTCTTCAAAATTAACCCACTTGGGGGCTGGAGAGATGGCTCAGTGGTTAAGAGCGTTTGCTATTCCTACAAAGGATTCAGGTTTGATTCCCAGTACTCACATGGAGGCTCATCACATTCTTGGGCACTAGGCATACATGTGGCACACAGACATACATGCAGACAAAACACTCATACCCATAAAATGGTTGAAAGATATTTTGTAGACTCTTTGTGAACTGTTCACATAAGCATGAATTTGAAAGGTTCGAATTGGGAGTGATGGGGTATGTCTGCAACCCCAGTGATCCATGTGGCCCAGGTTG